AAAATGATTCTGTGACACCTGGTTCAAAAACTCATTTTCGACCTATCACAGAGCATCTTCAAGCCAAATCATTATACGTGACCGGTGCAGCATCCGCATGAAAGTAAAATTTTCAATTACTCGGAACGATGTTGTAATCGAAAATTGGTATTTATTATATTACCCTTATGTTGAAGCGCAAGTATATACGCGCGGATCCAAGAGATTACACGGCGCCCACCGCATTATATACGTGTGCGTATAGCTAAAGATCGCATTCAGCGATAAACCACGTTATTCCGGATTTTTTTTTCGCCTGACCCTCTCCCCTATATAAATGTGCAGCGCACAGGAACGGCGGCAACATCAGCAGCAGCATCGACTTGCTATCGCACAAAACGAGGACATGACGGGGGCTTATCCTCGAGAGGCGGACTGGCGCGGGGGCGATTTATTAACATAATTAATTTCAATCTGCGCGTTCCGGCATTGTGCTCGTGCACGTATATACATTTATATAGTTTTGTAACGAGCTTCGCGCGGCGGTCGATCGCGCACATGTATTATATGCGTACTCGCGCGATCCTTTGCGGCCGGTCGCAGTGGAGAATCACAAAAATAAGTTTACACAGCGTGTGCGCGCACATAATAATATGGTAAAATCGCGCGCGAGTGTCGGCTCGAATTTATCGGCGTTATTTTTTGTCGTAATACGATGACGATAACAACAATAATGATAATCATGATAATAATAATAACGCCACGAGCTGATTTTCGATTACGCACGTACGAGTACGTAAACCGTATAAAAGGACGGGTATTATACGTATGTACTACATTAACAAAACGAGGAAAATCGAAATTTCAGTGCAGCTCGTCGGATCGTTGGCGTTCGTATATCGAATCGAACTGGCCGAGTCTGGTAACAACGTCCAGCGATAATGCGAGTGCGCTTTAATTTTTGATCTCCGCAGTAGCAGCGGCGGCAGCAGCAGCACCACCGGCACCACTAGCAGCCCTATATATTATGCACGTGTAAAATGTCACGACTGCAATTTTGCGATTGCGGACGAAAAGTAATGAATAATTGTCGGCTCGACTATGCGGAGGAGGGGGTGCACCAGCACCAATACCAGCATCGCCGCCGCTGCCGACACCCGCGTATATCATATTTATAGGCCAGCTCGTGTATACGTATGTACGGGTGTGAGTGAGAATGTATGTGTATCGGAGAAGAAGAGAGAGCGAGCTCGTTGAGTCAGCCCGCGCACGTGATAAATATTAAATAAAAAAGTATAATTCAGCCGGCGGTAGTAGATAGGTAGTGGTGGTGGTGGTGCGCGGCAGACGACGTTAATCTACATGATATGTGTGTACCGCGCTGACCCGTGAAAAAGTCAATTTCTTGCGGCGATAAACGGCCGCAGTAGCAGGAGCAGCAACCCCTGAATACGTATATCATGTGTACGTACGTACTCTAGATATATAAGCGTGCGTGGAGGCTCGAGGAGGTGCGCACACGTCTTTTTACGCGTTATACACAAGTACTGCATATATAAAATGTATACGTGCACGCACACGAGCTACGAGGGCACACGAGCGAGGGGATGCGGACGTTAGATCGGAATTTTCATTGCGCTTGATATCGCGTACTTGCTACACTGCACGAGAGCTGGTGGAACGAAGGGGAAGAAGAAGAAGAGGGTCGAGACGCGCAAATGCATATATTGTGCTGGAAGCTTAGAGCTAGGCCACGACGTGTAAGTACGTACATACGTGGAGGTGGATGCGATGTATCTGGCACGCGACCGCACGGATAAAAGAAACTGCACCATCTCGGCTGAGTTAGAAGAGAGAGAGAGAGAGAGAAAGAATGAGATTCTTGCGAACGCATAATATAAACATAGAACAACCGCACTGTACCGTATACGCGGTATGTCCTCGTTCTACAAAAGGTCACTACCACCACACGCACACATAATGCGCGCAACACAAGAGCCAGCTCGAGTGCAGATGTGTTTGGGAGGATGAGGATGAGGAGGATGCATATAATGCAAGACGTTGGGTACTTGTACGAGCTTTTAGGATATTACGTGTGCACGCGTGCGTATACTTATCGCGCGCGTAGCGCCCGAGAGAGAAATGGCCATTATCGCAACGCTGCCGTAATACGCGTATAACGGTATATATAAGGTAAAGCTGTGCGGCGCGCAAGCGAGGCAAGCCGCTTTGTCTTCAACGAGCTGCTGCTGCTTGCGGGGCTAATGCGCCTCGTGCTGCAGTAGCTTGCTTGCTGCAACGCACCAAGTGGTGCACACACACACATATAAGCCGAGCTGCTGCTGGCAAAGACAACTGATTTGAAATTATCATCGTGCGCTGCCTTTGTCGGAGCCAAGTGTACGTACAGTATAACGTATATAATGCGCGCGCGCGCGGCCTTTATTGCGTTTAAGACAGAGAGAGAGGCATACGAATCGAAACTCGGCGAGAGAAGCAGCTTTTCTCCTATTACAAGAGGGGCTGTGTGTACTCGATGCCGAGAGAGTGTCAGCCGTGAGCGCGATCATATTTGTAGGGCACAACAGAGACAGAGAGCTGAGAGAGGCAAACACGGACAAAAGGTTTCATCCTCGCACTTATATATACCGAATGCGATGAATATATACGTATAGCTTTTACCGCAAATCGAGAACGCAGAGAGAGAGAAAGAGAAAGAGAACGACAGACGAGTAGAATATAATAATTACTGGCTTGCATAAATTTCTCTCTTTCTCTCTCTGTATAATTTGAATTGCCGCATCGTTCTTTGCTATACATACACGCGCGCGCGCTGACGACGACGACACGCAATGTGGATGGATCTTTTTGACGGTTCGTGTGTGTATATTGCCGTGCTGTTTATGGGGCATACACGATATATTTATTACGCGACACTCGATTATGATCGATCGTATAAAATTATGCCGCGATAAAAAAAATGTACGGATGATTGAAATGAAAAACATCCCCTTAATAAACAGGCTTCGCAAGTGTCTGGTACTACATCGACGCTATTAGCAGTTTTATGTAATGATTTGTTTATGAAACGATCGGATCCGTACAAATAGATACAATAGAATGTATGGCAGCGAAGCGACGCGCGAGAGATTTACCAAACATCATCGATCATAGTACTCATTTGGCTCTTTTGTTTTTCATTGTGCAGTTCCGCCGCTGTTGCTGCTGCTGCTGCTGCTGCGCTCCAGTGCACTAGGCACCCCGCGGACATATAATGTATGAAATATGAATTGTATACTTGTATATATAATAACTCGTGCGATGTACACACGAGCAGCACGAGTTGTTTACTTGCTTTCAGAGCAGGTTTGACATGTGCACGTGTAGCGAAGGGAAAAGAGGGAAGGGATATCGCGAAAATGCGAACAGCCACGAGAAAGATATATATTTTCTGGAAAATCGGGTGATATTTCGAAGAGGATCCGAATCTATATGGGTAATACGAATGCAGCTATAGTAAACGTCGTGTATGCGCAGTTAATAGTCTGAAACCCAAGTGCAAAACTGCCGACGACCAACACGGCGGCAATGCACATATTAATGTGTGTCTGTGTGAGTGAGTAGAGGAGAGGAGAGAGAGGGAGTTGGTCGTCAGCGAGAAGATACACACGGAGCCGAGCCGAGCCGAGCCAAACTGTCAGAGTCGAGAGAGTTAGTTACAGACTAAGCACATACACGTAGCTTAGACTCCGCTATATTACTCTACACACCGGGATGCAATTATATCGCTTAAACGATCCGAGAGACAGTAACGTACACAGACGACGCGCGTATATATGTGTGTGTATAAAGCTCGTCGTCGAGCTGTCAGCATCGCACTCGTGTTGTTTCAACGAGCGCAGCACAGCGCGAATTTCGCCTACAATTGCATTCGAGTTTATATTTTTATTGAAAAATTGCCATTGCATTTTTCGCCATCGATGTCACTCGATGTTTCATTGATTATTATTTTTCACGGTACAAAAAGCAAAAAGTTGCTATCGTTGCAACTATACTTGTGCCGTATTAGACGATGGATACGGTGCATTGGCGCTCATCGTATAATAGCCCTCTCTTTCTCTGCTGCGGCAAGAAGTGCCGTCGAGTCGAGGCGCGCAAGACAAGCAGCAGCAGCATTATATATAGCATAGTAGTAGCAGCGGCGGCAGCAGCAGCAGCAGTAACAGTACTCGGCGCTAGAGTGAGAGAGAGAGAGAGAGAGAGAGAGAGAGCTGTGCGAGGGTGGATATGCGTGTGCGCGCGTGGCTAGCATGAGAGAGGAAGAGAGAGAACGAACCGCGCCCATGCGCTCGCTCGCTTGCTCGTGCAGTCGTCGCTCCGTGCAGCAGTCCTATATGCTACTGCTGCTACTGTCCTGTACACTGTGCTGTGCTGCACTCACACTGGCGGCTGCCGACAAACACACACCCACACACACACACACACATTGACTGTACTATCACGACGATCGTCGGGCGCGCGCTCGACTACTCGATGCGCTAGTCTTGAAAGCCACGATATGTATATCTGTATTATACGTTAAAAATGTATATATGGCAACTGCGCGACTATGACAATGGATCCTTTGAATATTGCAAGATGCGACTCGCGCGTATTCTTTATTCAAACGATACATCGAATCGTTGCAGTCTCGAATCGATCAAGCAGTAGACGCAGTTTGTACGCATCGAGAGCGAGTAAAGTAAGTAAGAAGAAGAAGAAGCGACGAACGACAAAAAAAAACAGAAAGTAAAGCTTCGAGAAGGGGTGGGGAATTGTAAGACGAGAAAGCGCATAGCTGCAAGTTCAAGCCATAAAAGATTCAGCCGAGAGTGAGTGAGAGAAAGAGATGGAAACTATTTGTCCTCGATCAGCCGATGTGTGTACTATTAAACTCGGACCGATCGAGCCATGTCGCAAGCTCGCTCGCGGCAAAAGATAAAAGAGATAAAAAAAAAAGCTCGTTGATAATGGACACTTACCAGTGATCCGATGATCATGACTCGGTCGACACTTGTCTTCTAATCTTCATAAAACACACGGACGACACACACACACACATGCACCGCAAAGCCGTGCAGCTCAATCGACGATTATTGTGATAGAGCGCGAAGGTAAAAAAAAACCTGTCAGATGAGCGGCACCGACAGCGATGACAGTGGCAGTGGCAGCGTCAGCAGCTCGACGAACCTCGCAACGCGCTTAGAACAATGCATAATCGGCGCGCACGAACAAAAGCACACCACGGCACACCTTGTATTATATACGTACACCACTATAACGCATGTGTGTGTATGTGAGAGAAGATCTTATCTCTGCAGCAAAAGCTCCTCGTCGTCGTCGTTACAGCGCTTCATAAACATCGTCTGCGGCGCGCGGTGTCTCCTCTTATCTCTCTCGGCTGAGTTTAGAGCTGGCTGCCGCGCGTTTAGAGTTGGCAACGACACGGCGTTTATCTTTGTCACTTGTTTATATTATAAGTAGCAGTGGTGCAGCGGAGGATGTACAACTGCTGCTCTATACGCACGATACGAGATATAAAAGCTGCGGCAAGACACACGTGACGTCGTCGTCGGTTCTCGCATACAGACGCACCGCAAGCACACGCACGCACACTCACTCACTCGCCGATGTATGTACACACTTGTTATATACGGGGAAAAAGAGGCGGGAGGAGGAGGGCACAAAAAATAACATACGAGCTTTGCACAGTCGTGGCAGCGCAAGTTGCACACAGAACCGGCGACTCGCTCGGCTACTATACGATGCTGCTGCTGCTGCTGCGAGCGAGGTACTGTCTCGCGCGCGCGACTATAATACGACTGCTGCGAGGCTCTCTCGAGTATTACAAGAAAAGCTCAGCAGGACGAGAGCAGCAGCGGCAGCACAACTCGCGACTGCGTATAATCACTCGAGTCGTCGTCGTCGTCGTCGTTCTCTCGCATACAGATATATGTGTGTAAGCGCAGCTTATATCACTGCTGGTGCTGCGAGCGGCCGAGCTCTCTCTGCACTCTCGTGCAGCACAGTGGTAGTCGTCGTCGTCGTTGTTGCGAGCCGTGCGCGCGCCTCATCGCGACTGTTGTACTACTACTACTACTACTACTACTACCTACTACGACTACTAGTATACCAGTCGAAGCGCCGCCGCCTCCGCACTGCTCTATGTGTGCCCCATGTGATATATACAAGAGCGAGAGAGAGAGAGAGAAAGCATCCCCCTTCGGCGCGCATACCACTACCCCCTGCTGCGCCGCTGCCGCTTCCATTGCCGCCGCCGCCGACGCCGCCGCTCATGGCTGTGCTGTGTGCACGTTTACAGTGCCACTAGTGCTAATGCTGCACCGCTATACCTATACACGCACGCATCCCTTATACACATATAGTTATAACTCTAGCACTCCTCTCTCTCTCTCTCTCTCCATGCAGGCTACCTACCCTCTCTTGCGATAACTGTATAGCTATATAGTACCTAACTGCGCGCGGATGGTCGTTGAACCCCTCCGCTCGTGTATACGTATATACCTGTCTTTACTCTGCGCCGTTCGTGTGTTTGTGTACGTGTACAACCTCGTGTGCGCGAGTGCATGTGAGCCAACCGTATACTGCGCTGCGCTGCGACGCGATTTTGCCAAAGTCTGATTCTGTGTGTGTATGTGTGTAGCTGCAGTATACGTACGCGCAGACGTTGAAAAGGAGAGACAGACACCCTCACTACCCTAGCCATGCTCACACGTACACGTCCTCTCTCTCTTCGTTGCTTGCCCTCCACCTCTCTTCTCACCCGCTGCTGCCCATGCTTCACTCCGTTCGACTGTGCGCGCTTCCCTCTCTATACAGTCGAGAGAGAGAGAGAGAGAGACTAGTGGCAGAAAAGTAGTAGAGCTTATACTTGGATCGCTCAAGCGGATATCTATATATTACAACGCAGATATATATAATATTCCGCACGGCGCCACCGATGCTACTGCTGCTTCTGCTTTTCCAACCCTCCCCCTCGTATATAGCTATATATACAATGCATCTTTCGATATACATCACATCGCTGAAGCATGGAAATATTTCTATCTATATAATGTATGCGTGACTTCCGACTCTGAACGAGTGGCAGCTTTTGAGCCCTTCGAGCGCGCGATCTGCGTTTCGCCGATACCTTATATTGCACTCCTTGCTTGGGCTGCACCTGCAGATATTATTATTGTTATCGTACGCGTGCCATTACTTCGAGTCCTTCGATTTTCCAGAGCGATAAGTCATCGATAATGCGCCTACACATGCTATTATTATATTTATGGGTAGTAATTTATCGGTGCATGATTTTTCACACGTTTCGAACGTCGCGCGAGCTCCGCGCGGAAAAAAAACGATAGGGATTTGTTATATAGATTGCTGCACCAAGCGTATATATAGTGGCAGTAAGAGAGAGATTGAGCAGAGATTTAGCGCCAGAGTTGGTGGCGAGAGCAACTCTTTGACGAATATGCGCTTAAGTAGGATGACGGGCTGGTGGTGGTGCAGCTATATAGCGCGCACACGTTTATATACCTGCTGTATTATAGAGAAAGGGACGGGTGCAATAGGGCTGTAGGGCGAGTGATGAGGCTGAAAATCCCTAGCAGATTAATAACGAGTTTGCCGAGGGAGAGAGAGAGATTATAAACTCGCGCGCGCACGTACTTAGGTCGTCACCGCCTCGCGCGTATAGTCGACGTTGCCGCTGCTGTTGTTATTGTTATTGCTGCTGCTGATGTTTTACCTGTAATGCGGGAGGGATCAAAAAGCTAAGCGTAAATCGGTAAACCTTAAATTCGAATAAAACGTGTATAGATCAACGTATACGAAAGAACATAAAACTCGAGCAAACAAAGACACGAGCTCAGCTGTCATTATAATAGATTGCGCGTGTAATACCTACAAAATTGGCTCTCTTAATAGCTCGTATATAGGCGTGCGCGGCACGCGATCTTTTTCTCTCTTTTTTTTCTTGTCCATTTCTGCTGCTGCTGCTCGTCCCTCACGCCAAGCATAGGATAATGATAATACCGTAGCCGCATTGCTTTGTTTTATAGCAGTAATGTATTGGAGCAGAGAGGCTGGACCGATCGATAAATCGATTATATAGGGTTCCTGGTGGGCTCGTGACTCGCTTCGTGACTGGTTCGAGCTCTGTCCTTAAAGACGACACCACCCCTAGTCCAATCATTAAATTTCCTCGTGAAAACGCTTTGTATTATATAGTCGTCGAATTTGACGACGACAGCTGTGGGCCCTCTATATTATGCACGATTCATCGGCCGAAATCGAAGGCTGAAAAATAAAACAGCAGCGAAGGTTGCACAATAAGTGAATATGCGTGCTCTATAGGGCAGGCATATAATCGAAGAAAGCCTACGCGTGTACGATGTGTGGATGATTTGCCAAGGTATAACAAGAAAGCAGCTGTCAAGCCAGACGCCGCACATACGCGTGTAGGCGTGTCAGAGATTTTACGCTTCTTTATTTTTGCATAATAGATATTATAATCTGTCTTAATATAGTAGCAAGAGTGAAAAATATGAGAAATTTTTAAAAAATCGGACAAATATGCTGCAATCAAGAGTCTGCTGGGTCAACGATAAAAACATCGACAATGAAAACAATTATTAAGGCTCGAATAATTTTGAATTCAAGTTTTGAAAATATCTTTATGAAGCAGAAGATGAGCTTCTTCGTTTTAGCTCCCAGATATTTTCTTTCACATCGATAATACACGAAAAATCCCACTTCACTCTTGGCTCAGCGTACATAAAGATGGGCTTCCACAAAAAATTTATCGTAGATATTTATCGAAATCTAAGTTCAACTTATACAAATGTACTTTGCTACTTGCAGATTTACAAATAAATGTACTTGCCATCTAGGGGCAGAGTTTGAAATCAAGTATCATTCAATTTTCATACATTTTATTTTCATACACTAAAAATAAATCTTAAGAAATTTTAAGTTGCCATAAGAATATAAATTTGAGTTTAGAATTGAGTATTTTTTGTTTATATTTTTATTTAAAATGATGTATGTGATTTTTCTTAATGAATTTTTTATAAAGTTTGTATAAAAACTAAATGAGTACCGATACATTTATTTTCAATAAAAGCAAATAATAAGGCAAATAAAATTTAATATAGATTACATTCCTCTTATATTAAATCTGCAAGTCAAGGCTTTTTTGTCATTTTACTAAATTATTAAATAATTTTATTAAAGTATTGAATCATTGAGAAGTGCGTGTCACACCCTGCACGGCAAGTGTTACAACATGAGCTGCACTTTAATAAACTTTAAATGAAAGACTTTTTATGAAAATAAAGAACCAAAATAAAATTAAGGAAATAATAATAATATTAAAATTACGTATTTGCTTGAACAATAAATACATTTTTACTACTTTCCTTTCATGAAATTTAATAAAAATACTCATATTAAAAGTAATGCAAAATGTTGAATAATACAAAACTTTATGAATGGTAAACTAACATTTCGGGCTAAAAATTCCTTGCCCTTTAACTATTTTGTTCAAGATGGGTAGTATAATTCATAATAGATGGCCTAAGGCTAAAGTCTTGAAAGCCAAAAGAGAAAAGACAAAGTTTTAGCATTAAGTTTTTCGAAAGAAATATTTTTACTGTATATTCTTGCTCATTTAATTGTGTAAGTATGGTAAAAGAACTCGTCCCGGGTTGCATCCTTATTGGATTGGACAATAAATAAAACTTATTTCATTACGATCGGACCAACCGGTCCCGAGATAATACTGTCCACGAACACATTGTGCAGATACACGCCGACAGTTGTCAGAAATTTAATCTAGATTATGAAAATACTAATGAAAGTTCTTAGAAAACATTCGTTTTGCGAAAGTCGATTTTGCACCCATCAGCGCGGACGAGCTTCCTCCAAAGCAGGAAGAAAAAAAATATATCTGCGAGCGAGCGAGCGGATCCGATTCCAACGCGTCGAGCTGTCGTGTCCTCTCAACTGCTGTTGCTGTACTATATACGTATATAGTCTACTGCTACCGACCTTTTTTCCATTAATCTTGTTTGGAGCTCTCCGGTGGAGCGCATACAGGGAGAAAAAAGAAGTTAAATCGCGAGGAAAGGAAGAATTTAATAATGTTAATTTTGTCGCAATTGGTCACACGGCTCTGAATTTGCGCAGGACTCGGCTAGAGAGATTGCAAACGCACACGTATACGCATCGATCGCGTCACACCGCCGTGCCCTGACCAAGATTGCAACCCAATAATTGCACGGCTCGCTTCGCAGCGGCGCGTCGGTGTATTTGCGGTTTGCGATCGGCCGGAGCGCTCGGAACGAGCCAGCGATTACACCCACGTTAAATTAAAATCGGACGATTCCGAGCGAAAAAGTAACTACGCGCCAGTTTGATACATTGAAGTATACGTAGCTCTAAGGGAGCCAAGAGTCATTCAGTTATGTGTGTGTATAATATATATAGTTGCAAGAGAGAAAACTTGCGTAACGCATATTGTAATAGTCAAACAAAGGTTTCGAGACGTTAGTTGGCTTTTCTCAGCTGTATAACGCTCGAGTCCACTGTATGGGTGTGTGTGTGTGTGTATGTTTTCATGTACGCATGCGAGCGACTGCAAAAGTACATTGTACTTCCTGTAAAGGGTGTGAGTGAGTGCGCGCGTGTACGAGCATAATGCGCATGTGAGCGTGTTTTTGTAAGCACATATATACGTGTGAAAAGACGTCGTCGCGTAAGGGTACGGAGAAAGCGACGAAAA